ATCGCCCCACTGCGCCCAGCTGGCCGTCGCTGTGGCCTTCGTCATCTTGTGGCTGCAAGTGGCGGACGGCTGGATCGTTCAGCAGCCGAAGGAAAATGTGTGGGTCACGCTCGCTAAGTCCTTGCAGGAGGACAATCTGTGTTTGGCCATGGGCAGTGTGGACAACCCTTTGTCCACATGCCTGGTGGGGGTTCCCCTGGTTGCCGACGATTGGCCAGTTTTCAACTCAGACCTACTCCGAACCACGGGTAAGAGACCTAACCCGGTCGACACTTGGGACGAGTGGACCAAAATTTTGTCTAATAGTAAGGAGGAACCCCAAGAATTGGACTTGCTGGGGTCCTCTCACGCAGAATACTGTGTCAAATTTTATTATAGGAGGCCAAGTCAGAATTGGCATGGAATTGACTTGGCCAAGAATACATATAGAAAAGATGTGACACCACTTAGCAAAAAATACAATAGTCAAACCTGGTGCAATTACACCAGCCAGGTCATTTCGGTCTCGTCCACGCGTCCTAAGGTGTTGCCCAGGGGGATGTTCCTTATCTCTGGGGACAGAGTATGGTCAGGCATTCCATCTCGGCTCCAGGGAGGACCATGTAGCCTTGGCAAGCTTGCTACCCTCACTCCAAATAAAACCCAAATTTTGGAATGGAGGAAGGAAAAACAATTGGCCCGCAAAAAACGTTCATACAATCAATTCGACTCAAATTGTGATTCGGAGCTTTATAACTAGGGCAAAACAAAGAGAATCGCTGCATCCATCTTCCTTCCATGGTATGCAGCAGCAAAAGCCCTTGGTGAGCTTTCTCACCTGGAGTGTTGGGTCAACAAGAATGCCAACGCTACGTCCGCCGCCCTCTCAGACCTCCTGGCGGACGAACAAACCACCAGGCATGCAACCCTCCAAAATCGGGCTGCGATAGACTTTTTGCTCTTAGCCCATGGCCACAGCTGCGAGGACTTTGACGGGTTGTGTTGCTTCAACCTGTCATCGAGGAGCACCTCCATCCAGGCCCACATAAAACAGATCCGTGAACAAGTAAAGGACTTGAAGACTGAAAACCCCTCGGCTGCTGACCCGGTTGATAAGACATTCTCGCAGTGGGGCATCCCCGGATGGGCAGCCCCCATTGTCAAAGGACTCATTTGGATTTTAGTTATCATTTTTCTTATTTTCGTTGCTTTAGCCATTTTTAAACAATATTTAGTTAAGACTTTTGGATCCGTTCTTTTAGTTAATAAAGACGGGGGAGATGTGGGAGGGGGTGTGGTTGGTGACCTCCCTGCATTGCCATGGGAGGCCACTGATGTGTAGTTTCCCGCCTCCCCAGTTGTCAGTTATCTGTTCTCCCTTCCCCAGTTTATGTCAATCATTTTGTACCCCTTCCCTTTGTTCTAGAAAGTTCTCAGTTCTTTGTACCCCCATTGGTTCTTCCCCCGAAACCACTCCTTCCCTCTTTCCCAGTTGGCCGTTGCCGTGTCACTCCTGCTTGACTCCACCCTCATACCCTCACCCGGTTGGATGCTCTGTACCCTGACCCTCCTTCCCTGCAACTGTTATAAATCCTGCCCCGCCCCTGGTTCGGGGCTCTCAGAGCTGGCTCGCCCTCTGAGTGGCTGTGTCCCTTCAGCACCCTCGCCTTCCCTCAACGAAGCCCTCAGAATAAAGCCTCCTGAGAGACTCTCGATTGGTGGAAGTCCTTTCTCTTTACTACCATCGAAGCGTTCCTGAGGTCCCGGACCTGCAGCTATCCGGAGCGGTCTGGGAGACCCGGGAGCGCTTCAATTTGTCTCCAGTTTATGACCCTCTACCAGTCCTTGCTGGATGTGTGGATCATCCCACAGCCCCGAAAGAATGTGTGCATAACTCCAGCCCATGCCCTCCAGCAAGACCATCTGTGCCTTTCAACATCTGCAGCAGAAAATCCGATGTCTACTTGCCTGGTGGGGATTCCAGGAAAAATAAGTGAGTACCCCAGCACCCTGGTCAGGATCTGGCATGAGTTTAATAAAAAGAACCTGCCAAACACCTGGGCAGAAATTTCTAGATATTGGGGGGTTCCTGAATATGAAAAAACAGCTATTACCAACCCTCTAGGGCTGTGGTGGAAATGGGTATATGAGCTGCCCACTGCCGATGCAGAGCCCCAGGAATTTGAGCTACAGGGCTTCACAAAGACTGAATACTGTGTTCAGTTTGACTTTACGCCACATGCCCACCCGAATCTCTACAACCATATGAAACAACATAAGGTAGAAATTAGAGCTGACCAGTGGTGCACTTGTATCACCAAAGTGGGTGCTCCCTCAGCTGCTGATTCCTACGCCTGCAAGTTAGACAAGGGGAGTTTTTAATCTGTGGAAATCAGGCATATCCAGGAATCCCCTCTCGCCTCCTAGGGGCTCCATGCACCCTGGGGCGTCTTTCACTTGCTTTCCCCAACATAACCCAGATTCCGATCTGGCAGGCCAAACAGAAAATTGTTAAAAGGGGTGCAGAACAATTAGACAAACATTGTAGCAAAATTTATCATTGGGCCAAATCCAAAAGAGTTGCCATCTCCGTTTTTCTACCCTGGGTGGCGGCAGCAAAGTCTTTAAGTGAATTGGGACATCTAGAATGCTGGGTTACAAAGCAAGCCAATTTAACATCGATTGCCCTAAGTAACCTCCGAGAAGACGAGGAAGTTACCAGGAAAGTGACCTTACAAAATTGGGCTGCCATTGATTTTCTGCTGCTGGTACACAGGCAGGGGTGTCAGGAGTTCAAGGGGCTGTGCTGCTTCAACTTGTCATCAAGAAGCCAAAGTGTCCACATGTCCATCCGAGAAATGAAAGACCTTATCGGCAGCCTAAAACAAGAGAACGACGACTGGTTCAGAGACATGTTTAAGAACTGGAACCTCTCTGGGTGGATGATATCTACTATGAAAGACGTTGGTTTTCTCTCCCAGATGCTGGATCTCACCATCGGGACGCCCCAGAAGGGGATCATTCACTTTGCAGCCATGCGAAAACTGCTGCAGGCCGTGCTGGAGCACCTGGATGTGCAGTACCTGACCAGCCAGGAGCCGTGGCCGGGCCAGCTGAGTGGCCCCTCACTTGCTGATGTGGCCACTGACATGGCAAAGATGAAGAAAGAGATGGAAGACTACAAGAAACACATGTCCAAGGTAGAGGCTCTTCCCAGCCCCCGGGGCACTCCCCCAGCAGACAGCCCCTCCCCGCTTCCTCAGACAGCACTGCTTGGCACTGCCCTCACTGCCCCGGAGCAGCCCCTGGCAGGGGCTCTTTGCCACCTGGATGGGCTTCAGTGCTCTGGCACCGAGCCGGGCTGGGGCAGGTGGCACTGGGACTATCCCTGCCCACCTGGATTGCCACGGGCTGCCCGTGGCAGGGTGGGGCTCTTTGGGGTGTTGCTGTCCTGGCCATCACCCCTGACATCCCTGTTGGTTGGACTGTTTCACAGGTTCTTCGTGAGGAGCTTGGTGGGATAAAGGCATAACTTTCCCACCTCTCCGAGGACATGAAGAAGTTCCAGGAGAGACAGGTCTGTGCAGACCACTGTGGTAGTGAAGGTTGTTTTCCTCACAGACACTCCACAACTTGCATCTCTCACCATTTTCTCTGACAGTCCTACATGGCACGGGAATTAAAGAAGATCCAGGAGATGCAGGACAAGGTGAAGTGCTGCTGGGGGCAAGTTTTGGGTCTGAGACAGCAGCCTGGACCCTCGGCCCTGCTAGCTGAAGGCTCAGTACCCTTGGCCCTGCCAGATGCATGGACCGTGCTGCCTGCAGAGCCCTGCCAGCCTGGCTGAGCCCGGCCCTGTGCTGTCCCCAGGGCTCCACAAAGCGCAGCAGGGGTCAGGGCCTTGCAGGTGCCCACTGACCCTCCCACAGGCTCACTGCCACCACTCCTCTCTCCTAGGACATGGCTCTCATCCGGAATCTCCAGGAGGAGATGGAAAGGATAAAGTCAACACAGATCCTCATGGAGGGAGACATAAAGAAGATTAAGGAATCGCTTGCCTTAGTGAGCTGTTGGGTTGTGTAATCTTTAGGCTCTCATGGGGAACATCAATGTGATTCCAAGAGCAGGCTTTGGGATCAGGGTCTCAGGACCAGGTGGAAGAACCTGGGTCTGCCCATGTAGCTGAAGGGCCCCCATGCTGGGACCAGAGGATGTCCGTGCCCTGACTCTTACCATCACTGGCTTTCCAGATGAAGAAGCTGGAGGAGGACCTTAAAAAGCTGAGGGAGGATGCAGCCAAGTGGAAAGAAGAGAGCAAGAAGGAGATCTCTCAGCAAATTGAGTAAGAGGACAGGAGTGGGTTTCATACCCTGTGGTACTGCAAGGGAGCCCAGGGCGTCTGGCAGCATCCTGGTTTGCAGGCACAGCACAGTGCCCTGCAGCCCTGCAGGGGTAACCCTGACCTTGTCCCCATCCCGCTGGCCAGGGCTTTGCGTCAGGACACAAAACGTGAGCTGCAGAAGATGGGAGAGCAGCAGGAGAGGAGGAATGCCATGCTGGAGGAGATGGTGACTCAGACAGCCGACCAGCTGAACGAGCAGGTGAGGTCCTGGGGCAGCACTCCCACCACCCCTTGCTTGGTCATGTTGGAGGTCCATGCCACATCCTCATGCTCTGTGGTGCTTTGCTGTAATGTGGGGGAGGCCCAAACTGCCCAAATTGGCCTGGACCAGTCAGCAGCATGGACGCAGATTAAAGCCTTGATGCAAACGTCCTGTTGACACTGAGAGCTCATGGCCACTGGCTGAGTCATGTGGGTCTGCCCTGTGGAGCAGCCAGACCCCCTTTGGTCATCACCTAATGTTCTTCCTTCCCTGGAGCAGGATCAGGAGCTGCGCCAGCACATGGAAGCCAAGTTTCTGCAGATTCAAAAAGACTACGAGAAACTCAGCTTAGCCTCAGGGATCCTCCAGAAGGACTCTCAACAAAAGCAGAAAGAAAACACGGTGTGTGGCTGAAACCCTTTTTAGGTCAAAGCATCCCCCAAGATGTGTCCGGGCAGGGATCACAGAGCATCTCTTGACGATCTCCTCCCAGCACTGTGCTTGTTCCAAGTGCCTTTCGCCAAGGTTTTTTGTGTAGGGGGAGAGGGCGATGCTCCCATATCCTGGGGTGTGCCCCAACCTTGCTGTGATGTCATGGGTTCCTTTTTGTACTGAAAGATGCTGTTCCAGTCTCTGGAGAAGCTTCAGAAGGAGAAGGCAAATGAGCAGGACGTGATGGAAGCAATGGACATGGTACAGTCTCAATGGGCCTCCCTGCCAGCCCAAGGGTTTCCAGGCAGGGTGCCAAATGCCCCTTGTCCCTTGGGGGCTGGGTGGCAGGAGTGGCCTGGGGAGGGAGAATTTCCCGAGCATGTTGGTGTTCCCTCATCTTCCAAATGGTGGGAACAAACCCACCAGGGTGATGGGGCACATGGGGCCACAGCACCCTGAAAGGGGCATGATGGCCTGGAGGAAGCACTTCTCCCTCTGCCCCTCACACGCGCTGGCCCTGCCTGTGGTTCCTCATCCCTTTCCCCACCGCTCTCCTGCCGTTCCCCTCTGCTAGAAGGCGGACAAAGCTGCCTTGGGCAGCAAAGTCAATTGCAGCCAATTTGAAGAGAACATGGAAGAGCTGGATGAGAGGATGCAGGAGTTGCAGAGCCAGATTTCAGGCCAGGAGGAGCACTGGAACAATATGCAGCGTCAGTTCCGCGATGCAATTGAAGAGAAGGTGAGTGGTCCCTCGTCCCCAAAATGACAAACTGGCACCTTTGGGACTTGACAGCCTGAGGCAGCATCCCTCTGAGGATCCCCCTCCAGGCTTTTCCCTGGAGAGCTCCATGTCACATCCCGGGGCAGCTGGCTGAGGCTGTGCACCTGTTCACAGCTGGATCGCCTGGAGCTGAAGGCTTTCCGTAAGCACATTGACGAGGCCTGGAGCAGGAATATTGAGGAACTTGAGAACAGGCTGTTGCATGAAAACGCTGCTGGGATTAAGAAGTGAGTGTGATGCAGATTCTGAAGGCTTTGGGGACAGTAACGGTCCCATTCCCTCCAGCTGTCCCACACGCTCCCCGTGTGCTCCCCTGCCTTGGGACCAATTCAGCTGCTCAATGAACCATGGGGATGCTGATGAAGCAGCTGCACCTTCTCCTTCCACCAGCAGCAGGTTCCATGCAGGAAAGGAGGCACGAGGACAGGGCACCTGCAGGACAGTGCCCTCCAAAAGGAAAAATGTGGCTGTTGGTGCAAAGACTCCCTGAAGACAGGGTGGGAGATGGCAACTGCTCCTCCCAGGCAGGGCTGTGGGACGCAGGGTCCCAGAGCTGGGTCGTGCCCTGCCCTCCTGGCCGTGCACACAGGGGACTTTGGTGCCAGAGAGGGGCTGAAAGTGCTGCAGGGGCTGCTTGGGATGGTGACACGGGTGCCTGTGCCCTTCAGCTGGCAGCAGTCAGCACGGTGGGGATGGGGAGAAACAGGCTCAAGAGCCCACGGTTCAGCCTGCAAACGCTGTGACCCTGTGCAGTGACCTGCCCGGCACCCGGCTGCTGCCAGCCGCTGCTGCCTGTGTGCGGGCAGGGCTGTGGCCCCAGGAGCTCCCCCAGCCCTCTTCTCTCACCCTCCTTAGGCAGCTGCCAGTCCCTTTCACGTGCCTGTCCTGTGACCACATGCTCACCGTGCAGGTCCCTGGCCAGTGAGTAGCACCAGTGCATCGGGGGCAGCGGGGCTGGGATGGGGGGAGATGGGTGCCAGCAGTGACCGCTGTGCTGGGCACAGGGTGACAGGGTCTGCTTGGGAGGCCCTGATGTGGGGAGCCCCCTCTGCAGCCCTGCCGGCAGCAGGGGTGTGGGCACTCATCCCAAGGCCTACAGGCAGCGGGGTACCATGGGGTACAATCCTCTGGGTTTGGGGGTGCTGCCTCCAGCAGGAGCAGGTTGTTTGTCCCCTGTCACACACCTGTGACTCCTGCCCTCCCCAGGTACCCCGAGACACTCCCGTATTTGCCACCGCTGCCCCCCAGCAAGGAGCCACCGCACAGCCAAAGGTAAGGGCCCTGAGGACAAATGCCCAGCTCCCGGGGTGCAGGCTAGCCCTGACACAGCAAGGAGGGCTTTTCCCGGTGTGGCACAGGCTTTTGCTTCCTGCTTGGGGCTCCTGCAGCAGGTGGACAGGAACTGGAGGGACATGCCCCTGCAGGCAGCACTGCCAGTCCCCTCCCTGGCACAGCAGGGTGAAGCCAAGGATGCCACAGGGCTGGGCACTGAGTGTCCTCTGCCCCATCCCACAGGAGGCCGATTGTCCATGGCAGTGTCCCCCGTGTGCCACAGAGCTCTGGGGACCGTCAGAGCAGCAGTTTCAAACTGCCCCCCATTCAGGATTCTCTCCGGAACAAGGCATTTCTGCAGGGACTCGTCACCCTTCCCAACAAGGTAGGGATGAAGAAGGTGGGGACATGGCATGTGTAATGCGGACTGGCAGTGTGATGCTGAGGATCCAGGGTGAATTTGTGCCTTCAATTTCCTCGGGCAGAGCTGGTTTGGGAGGGCTGCTAGGGAATGCTGAATTGGGCCCTGCATTTCAGCCATCTGCTCTCTCCTTCCCAGCCCAGAGTGAGCCAGCTGCTGGGCAGGGATGGACACATCCCGAGGGGCTGCAATGACCGGCTTCCTGTGCTGACCAGGACACTGGATGAGCCAGGTGTGGCCCTGTCAGGGCACGGGGATGAGGGGAGAAGAGACTGGTTGTCTGCTGGGTCTGCGCCTGGTCCCTGGGGGTCTCTGGCCAAGCAGGTGACCCTCCTGCTGCCCCGTCCTGGGCTGGCTGAGATGAGCCAGACGGGGCAGCCCTGGGGACTGGGGGCTCACCCTTGCCTCTCACCCCCAGGCCCTGCCACCTCTCGGGACCACCGGCCAGGCACTGCCCCCCGACATGTCTCCAGGGCACCAGGGCTCCTCCTGCCAGCCCAGCCCCGTCAGATTTCGACAGCCCTCAAGTAGCCGGACAGGACTGGGAACCCAGTGCTCCACCAGGGACGTCTTCTCAGCCGACAGAGAAGTCTGCAACAATTATTGTCAATTAAATCATTTTTCATTTCATTAATAAAACTCTTCTGAAAGACAAGCAGAGCCTTTTCCCACTCTCACTGAAAACATGGGGATAAATACAACTGTCTTACACTATTTTTACTGTTAGGAATCAGGCATCACTTCATTCCCAGCACTGGGATGCCTGGGAATAGCTCCACTCAGCATGCACATCCACTCTCTAAACTTTTCACTATGTATTTTTATCAAAGGAATTAATGCTCATTGCCTATAAATTTCATATTTCTCTTCCTTAATTAATATTCTATCTTCAATTTGGTTTTGATTTCTCAATTCTCATGCTGTTGCCAGCTAAAGAAGTGTTAGCTCCTGGTGGGCTCATACGATGCTCATTTTACCAAAGTCTGTGGAACCACACCATCAATAGCAGGATAAACATTTACCAAGGAAGGGAGTAAAACTACAGTCCACTGATCTAAGGTTTCCTAATTTAAATAACTGGCCAGCTAGATCAACTTTTCCCCTCATTTACAGAGAAGCACCAGTTCACCAGGTAACTGAAACTGTCCACTTGTTTGGAAAAATATCTTATGGCCCTTTTCCATGTCCCCAGCCTCTGAGCTAACACCCGTAGTGCAACATGTCAGTGTTTGTGAACAAACAGCTCCAGAGGCTTGGTCACGTCAGGTAATGCCTGTGCAGGGCTGACATTAGAGCTCTCTTGAGGTCTCTGGAAGCCTCTGGCAATCTGGGGTCCACTGCAGCAGCTCCTTGCTGTAGCACCTCCTTGGGGGTTTCTCAGGGCCACATATCAAGCTCTTACCACAGGCCAGAATGAAGAACCCAGAGCCCACACCAACCACCCATTCCTAGAAATGTTCTTAACCTGCAAAAAGACCTTGTCTCTGGGGTTTGGCAAATTGCCTCCATCCTTTTGGTTCCAAGGCTTTGCTGCCCCTGGGAAATGGTGAACCTCTGATATAGAACATGCTCTTTAGCACTTGGGGCCTTCTTCTTGGACACCCTGTAACTTGCTTGTCCCAAAAACTTCAGGAAACTGAGAATTATTTCAATGCATCTAGCCTGAGTTCCTGTAGCAATTAAAAGATCACCCACATACTGCAGCAAAGTGGTCCCTTCATTCTCCTTTTCCCATACTGAAGGGACTGCCGGAGCTTGGCTAGCTCTTACAACCCCGCTGCCGGGCCAGGAGTGGGGAACTGCCTCGGTATGGGGATTTACCTGAGGCTGAACCTTTAGAGGCACTTGCTCTAAGGTGCCAGACACAAGCCACCACAGGGACCACGAGAGGAGAAAGGAGGAGGCTCTCTGCCTTGAGGCTCCACAAGGAACACTTCACTCCAGGTGAAGGGAGCTCAAACAAAGAGCCGCAGGCACGCCTGTGCAGGGGTTTAGTAAAGATACAAGTCAGGGGTGGATGCAAACAGCCAACCAAGAGGGAATCCTCAGGGGAGGAGTGAGGGGATCACATCCAGTGTCTGGGGCCACATGGGGCAGGGGGGGTGGGGAGGATGGGGCACACGTGCCAGCGGGGCTTCCAGGGATAGGAAAATTCCAAAGGGTGCTGCAGACAGGGATTGACCCAAGGTCTGAGTGGCACAGAAGGTTCGGGAATCAAGGCGTGGATTGCCTTGACAGGCAGGGAAAGAGCTGGACCAAGGGTGGGGAATGGCATGGGGGACAGCTTTGAGGGAGGGTAAAGCCCAGGGCTAAACAAACTCGGGGAGAACATGGGGGTGCAACAGGACGAACCACTTAACAAGGAATCAATTAAATAAACCCAACCGCAACACTAGACCTCCAATTCTTTTGCCACTTGGTTCTTGTCTTGGGGTGGCAGTATGATACTGTGCCCCTGTTGTCTGCCTAATGCCCAGACAGGGGTCCTGTAACTTTAAGCTAGGTCTGAGAGAGGGGTGGAAAGCTGGTGGAATTCTTTTGGTGTGGTTTTCACACATCCTCCCCCAGGCTCGCTCAGCTGTGTTGTGCAGCATGGACAGAGGGAGTACATCTGTGCTTTTAGCTGGCTCCTTCTTTGCTTGTTTGACAATGCCAGAAGTTTTTCCAGGCCTGTGGGTTTTTTCCCTGGAACTGTTGGGCTTTTCCCCGGCCCGAACATTGCCGGGAGCCCTGTGCCCCAGCCCGGAGGGGAGGCCCTGGGATGGGCGTCCTGGCTTCAGACTCGGGAGGAGCTGAGCCACTCCTACACAAAGAACTGTGAATCCACAGCTTTCTCCACAGCGAGAAGGTTTGAATATCTGACATTATTCATTCTGTTTCCTGCGCCTGCCTGCACCCTGTGTTGTCACTGTGCCTTCCCAAGTCTCAGCTAGCACTAGTGCATTCGCCAGAGATCAAACCCGGGCTGCCCACATGGCAGGCGGGAATTCTACCACTGAGCCACCAGGGCTGTTGCTAGCTTCCCAAGTCTTGGCTAGCTCAGTACCTTTAGCACTGCGGCAGCAAAGGCCACTCTCGTGTGCCGCTGGGGGCACGAGGAATGGCCAGTGGGAAACGAGGCCACCAGACTGGAAGAGATGCAGAGTGATGCTGACAAAAGCAAGGAGCCGTCCTTCTGGGGGTATCAGAGTTCCTAGTTTATTGGCTCAAAGAAAGATAAGCTCCAAAAAGCAATGGGCACCGTGTGCCCTGCTTGTTAAAGGGGGGCGGTAACAGGGAGAGGAAACAGCAGCCAACCAATGGGATAACAACTGGGGGTGGTAACAGGGGTGACACACAGGGGAAACTTCCAATGAGGTAGCAGGGAGGGAGGGGACCCTGGAGACCAGCTTATCACTCGAGGCCCTGGATGGAACTTTCTAGGTGGAAGGGAGAGGTATCTGAGAGACAGACAGGCTCCGGGGTGGGGTTGCGGGGAATAACTCAGCAGGAATACAGTGAACTGGGTGGAGGGAGGAATGACAGGCAGACGGAGTGGGGAGGAGAAGGGAGGCTGGACCATTTTACAAAAAGAGGGGGAGAGGGAGCAACCAGAACTGGGGGAAACTTAAAACACACCCCAACACTGTGTGTTAAATAAACAGCTTTTTTCACTTTCCTCAAAAACATTCCTTGTTGTGAGAGGGACTGCTGAAACCTGTCTCCTCTGAACTTGTCTCAAATTGAGACAGTTCTCAAACAATGTGGGGTGATTTTTGAACCCTGGAGGAAAATAGGTCCACTTCAGTTGGGTTTCATGGCCCATCAAGGAACTTTCCATTGAATGGCAAACAAGAGTTGACTTTCAGTTTCAAGGGCAATGCAGAAAAAAAGCATCCTTAACATCCACAACAGAGGACTCATCAGGACTCATCAGATTACTTAATTGGGCTTAAAAGTGTATAAGGGCTTGCAACACTGGGTCTAAGTCTCACACTATTTCACTGACAGCTCTGACATCTTGTACCAGCCTGTGTTCATTAGTATGTGGCTCCTTTACTGGCAGGAGAGGAGTCCTATATTGTGGCTCATATGCCCGCAGTGATCCATCTTGCAAAACTTAATAATTCATTCTTCCAACCCTCTTCTCGCTTCTGACTTCAAAGAATATTCTTTTTCTGCCCAACCAGTTGCCCATCAGGCTCAGACAGAATCCTTACTGGTTCCACTGCTTTGATTTCCCTGGAATTCCATTGGTCCACATCAACACAGTGACAGTGTTTTCCACCTCCTCTGGCATTCTCTCTACTGCATTTGGTTGCATTTTAACAACACAAAGAAAACTCGAGCCTCCAGAGCTTGAATTTCAGAAAAGCATAATTGTATTTGTCAATTTTCAACTATTGTTTGTGAATTTAATTGACTCAAAATATCTCTTCCTAACAAAGGCATTGGGCATTCAGGCATCTACTGAAACTGATTCATTAACCACTCCCTACCTGTCTTGAATTTTAAGGGTTGCAATAAAAATGGCATATTTTAGCTCTTCCTGGGGGCACCAATGACATTTACAGTATCTTGGCTAAGGTTCCTTTATATGTATATGGTACAGAAGAAGCTGCCCCTAGATCCACCGGAAAAATCTACCTGTGTCACTCCCCAGTGTCAGGGTCCCCAGGGTTTCAGGTGGGGATGACTCTCCTGGTTCCCTCCATGCTACATCTAATGTTAAAAGACTTGTGGCCCGGTCAGGAGGTGCCTGTTTGTTCCTGGCCGGTCACACTTCCAATGATTCCCCCTGTTTCTCTCTTGCCCCCTGATTTCTACCCAGAGGCCGATTGTCAGAGCCCCCCCTCCCTGGGTGTCTCCATCTCTTGTTCTGTAACTCGCCCTTGGCCTTCGGGCTCAAAAACGCTTTAGGAGTTTCCTATTCCTGCTTTCCTTGATATTCTTGACATTATTCTATACTTCCTGAGCTCTTTACTATAATCTGTTCAGGTACCTAGAATCTACCCCTTGCAGTCTCTGAAGCTTCTTTCTAATATCTGGAGCCAGTTGTCCCAAAAATACTGCTGCTAACTGTAATGCATCTCCCTCCCTTTCAGGGTGCAGGTCCCTGTACTTTCTGGCCACGCCATAGTGAGTCACTGGTGAAAATCAGAAGGGCATTCATCTTTTCCTTGAACCTCTTGATATAACTTTGACATATCCATA